TCCTTCTCCCTGTGACCCCGTCCCCTGCTTACGTGTGCTCTCTCCAAATAAATAAAATCTTTAAAAAATAAACAAATAGTGGTGATGGTTGCACCATTCTGAATATATTAAAAACCACAGAATCATAAAATTTAAAAAGGTGAACTATATGATGAATTATTTCTCAGAACTGTTTTTTTAAAAAGACTCTTGGGGTGAGGTAGTAGTGGGGAAGGCTGTGCACATGTGGGGGAAGGGAGCATATGGGAAATCTCTTTACCTTGCATTCAATTTTGCTGTGAACCAAAAAGTGCTCTAAAAAATAAATTCTTAAAAAAAATGAGGTTGTCCCGTTTATAGTAATCCAGATCACCTCTACAGAACTTCAAGAGTCCTAATTTTTTTTAATATTCAATTACTTTACAGTATATTTTATTAAGGCCGTGACGTGAACTAATAATTTTAAAACACATTTTTAGTAATTACATGTCATAAGCATTCTGCAGTCATCTTGTAAAAAATTCTAAGGAAAGACTCCATTTTTCTGAATTAGTAAATTCTTCAAAAATTATTCCCACTTTTACCAAAAGATTATTTCATTCTTTCCCTTTTCCCTTTTACTAAATACCCACATGGTTTTAAAATTTTTATTTAAGTATAATGGAACTACTATAAAATCCACCTGGTTTTAATTGTTGTTAGATGAATTTTTTTTTAAAGATTTATTTATTTGAGAGAGAGCGAGCAAGCGAGCATGCAAGCATGAGCAGGGAGAGGAGGCAGAGGCAGAGGGAGAAGCATGCTCCCCGCGGAGCAGGGAGCCGGACTCGGGGCTCGATCCCGGGACCTGGAGATCATGACCTGAGCCGAAGGCAGACATTTAACCAACTGAGCCACCCAAGTACCCCTAGTTAGATGAATTTTAGTGAATAAAGGAGCTGTGTATGCAAACTTCACAATTCAGTTTGGGACACTTCTGTTGCCCTAAAGACTTTCCCCGTACCCATTTGCAGTCAATCTCCACTCCCATGTCCAGACCCAGGAAGCCACTGACAAACTTTCATCTGTAAAGTTTGGCCTTTTCTAGAAGTTTCAAATAAAAATAATCATTCAATGTATAGTTTTATGCAACCAGTTTCTTTCTGTGAGCATGTCTTTGAAGTCATTCATTTGTTGCGTCTGTCAGCAGTCATTCTTTTTTATTGCCGAGTAGTATTCCATCCCATGGACACACCAGATTGTGTTTCTCCATCTATCAGTTGGTGGGCATTTAAATTATTGACTGTAGTATTATTCATATCTAAAAACTGTAAACAGTCACATAAAAGACATGTAGCTTCATTTCTGTAGGGTACTTAGGACTAAATTTGCTACATCATGTGGTAGATATATGTTTAATTTTTTTTATTAAGATTTTATTTATTTATTTGACAGAGAAAGACACAGTGAGAGAGGGAACACAAGCAGGGGGAGTGGGAGAGGGAGAAGCAGACTCAGAGCAAGGAGCCTGATGCGAGGCTCGATCCCAGGACCCCGGGATCATGACCTGAGCCGAAGGCAGACGCTTAACGGCTGAGCCACCCAGGTGCCCCTATATGTTTAACTCTTTAAGAAGCTGCCAAACTTTTCCAAAGTGGCTATATTAATTTTACATTCCCACCAGCAAAGTATACAGTTTCCAGTTTCTAGACATCTTGCCAACATTTGGGACAATTCTTTTTAAATTTGTATTTTAGCCAGTGAATAAAGAAAACACCCAGTGTTTTCCTCCTTTGTTTCTGCTTTACTCTCACACCACACTCCTACCACTTCTGACACTTCTGGTCACCAAACACATGGGGCATTTTCCCCACACCAAGGGTCCTCTGTGTTCCAGCTAGGCATCCGGCAATTTAACTCCATTCTGACGTGGCCCTAGAGACAGCATCCGAGTCCACGAAAGGCTCAGTCCCATGCGACTGCCTTCTCTGTCCCCTCCAGGTACCAGTGGCAAGTAGGAGGTCCCAGGCTACCCACAACTTCTCTTCAGCTTGGCTACCAATCAAAGGTTCCCACAACCCCCTCCTTGCTAGAGCAGCTCTCAAAACTCAGGGAAACACATGTGCCAGGTAATTATAAAAGGATATGATGAAGGATACAGACGAATGTCCACATGGGAGAGATGGGAAGGGCCAGATATGCTGGATGGGGCACAGAGCTTCCACGCCCTCTTCAGGCAAGGCACTTGTTCAGCACTGCTACCTGTTTATCTATCAACCCAGAAGCTCCATAAATCTCAAACTTTTTTGGACTTTTATCACATAGGCATGATTGATCATTAGCTCCATTTCCAGCCCCCCTCCCTTCTCAAGACAATGGGGCTCGGGGTGAAAATTTCACGCTTCTACTCATGGCTTGGTCTTTCAGGACAGCTCTCCTGGAGCTGTCCAGGGTCCCACCCAAAGCTGCCTCATTACAACAAAGGACACGCCGGTCACCCAGGAAACTACATGGCTTCAGGAGCCCTATGGCAAGAACCTGGGGCAGAGACAAATATATACTTTTTCTATTATTTCACAGCCAGTTTAGGGGATACACTGGTGGTATTTCACTGTGGTTTTAATATCTAATGATGATGAGCATCTTTTCATGTGCTTATTTGCCATCCACTTAACTGTTTAAATCTCACGGTCTTTTTAAAAACTGGGTTGTCTCCTTACTGAGATGTAATATCTCTATACATTCTGGATTCAAATCCTTAATCATATATGTATATTTTGCAAATACTTTCTCTACATCTACAATTTATCTTCTCATTTTCCAAAGAGTGTTTTGAAAAGCACAAAAATTTTTAATTTTGATGAAGTCCATTTTACCAATTTTTTGATGGATCAAGCTTTTGAAGTGTTTTATTATGAAATCTTGGCTTAATCCAAGATCGTGAAGATTTACTCTCATGTTTTCTTCTAAGAGTTTCACAGTTTTATATTTAGGTCATTGATCCCACATTTTCTTCTGAAAGATTTCCAATTTTACACTTAAATATATCACCCATTTTTGTGTAGATTATGCAGTTAAGGGTCTAAGTATCACTTTTTAACATATGGCTGTCCAGTTGTCCAGCACCATCTGCTGGAGACTATCCTTTTTTCCAATACATTCCTTTGGCATCTTTGTCGAAAATTGATCATATATGAGGCTATTATTGACTTGATTCTATTCCATTGATCTATTTGTCTATGGCTACAGTTTTATAGTAAGTTTTGAAGTGAGATAATTATATTTTTGGTGCTGTTCTTTTTCAAAATTGTTTTAGCTCTTCAAGGTTCTTTGCATTTCTGTGTAAATTTTAGAATAAGCCTCTCAATTTCTACAAGAGACCTACTGAGTCTGTGATAGGGATTGCATTCAGTCTACAGATGATCAATCCGTCTTCCAAGCCATAAAGATAGCATATCTCTCCATTTATTTGGGCCATCTTTAATTTCTCTCTGTAATGTTTCATAGTTTTCAGTATACAAAAATACTCATTTTGAAACACCAATGGTAACTTCTTAAATGTTAAATCTAGTATCAAACCGCAGTAGGAAATCCTGCAAAAATTATTTAAGAATCTTCCTGACACAATTTTAAGTTTGCCATTCCTCACATTCAACAACAGGATAACAATGAACAGAGAGCAAAAATCTGTTATCTTATGAAGTTGACAGGTTATAAACCACTCATAAAACTAAGTAGGAAAGAAGTTAATGCCTTTATCAAAGACGGAACCTGCTTTGACTATTGTGCCCCACGAAAAGTGTCCAGTAGCAGAAACTAAATATTCAATCTAGTTTTCTTCCCTAACTCCCATCAAACCCAAGAAAATTCCATAAACTAGAGTCATACACACACACACACACACTCTCTCTTTCTCTACATGTACGTAAAAAACTTAATACTGCAAACACAAATACACAATCTTCAGTCTTTCCGTCTTCATTTTTATAGCATTTTTGCCTCTAATTATGAATGTATAAGGTTTCATTGAAGCTATTTGTCAAATAAAATGGGGTTAGGTTCTATCACAGGTTTAAATTATGAAAAGTTTTTTTTTTAAACCTTGAAAAGTATGAATGTTTTTTGTGTGTTTTTTTAAAGATTTTATTTATTTATTTATTTGAGAGAGAGAAACACAGCGAGAGAGGGAACACAAGGAAGGGGAGAGGGAGAAGCTGGCTTCCCGCAGAGTGGGGAGTCCGATGCGGGACTCGATCTCAGGACCCTGGGATCATGACCTGAGCCAAGGCAGATGCTTACAGACTGAGCCACCCAGGCGCCCCCAAAAATATGAATGTTAACAAAGGCTTTTCCATGAGAAACTCTCATTCAAAATAAAAACATTTTGCAATTCCTACCAGAAGCCATGTACAATTACACTATTTATAAAAGCAAAAATAGAAACTACCCAAATGTCCACTGACAAGAAAAGATGCTATAAATTGTGGTACTTCTTTACTGAATATCATACATTACCGAATATTACACTATGGTAAAAATGTTTATTTTTTTGATTTTATAGTATATGTAACATCATGATGAAAATTATAAATGTAAAATGCTGAAGGGAAAAAAAAAGCAAGTTCCAGAAGACAATGAGCATATGACTCTGAGCAAAACTAAACATATTGTTTGCACACATACATTTATAATAAAGACTATTTTTAAAGAGGCAAAGCAATGAGATCCACCAACGTGCGAGCAGCAGTCACAGGGGTTAAGGAGTAGAGAGGGCAAAAGGCAGCGGGAAAAGCGAACCAACCACTGCACGTGCCAGTCATTAGTAATGCTCGAGGTCTTGGGTTGAACGAAGGCTTTAAACGTCTTATAACTCACATCATGTCATCTAATTTTTTCGTAAGCCTAAATATTATACTAAAATATTTTTTTTAAAACACAAGCAAAACCTATTTTTTAAAAATTCACCCATCACAGAACATTTTCCAGAAGCTTAATTGGGCACTCAAGAGAATACACATCAGAAAAATTTTTTTAAGTTTTACCTTTGTTTCTGTTCAATTGCTTTGTCCAAGTGCTGGAAGATATCCTGAAACAGGGTGCAGCTGGATCGACTATTAATAGTATATCCATACCCTCTTTTCCAATACTGTTTCAGATCATTTAAATATTCTAATACCTAAAAATAAAAATTTCAAAAATCATTACTATTACATGTTTTAATGTTAACAAATTCCCTGATTTAATAATGATTCTCAGAAAAGGTTACATTGTTTAATTACCATTCTACACAAAGTATAATAGAACCTCAGCATTCACTGAGTTTATACTTGCCATTTCAAGCTTTTACGAGTTGCCCCAAAAGACCATGACACACAGATATTTACGATGAAACACAAATCTGAATTGTGGGAATGCAGGGGTTGGCATGCAAGAGCAAGTTAGTAGTACTCATAGCCAATAATCGAGCATCCATGAGAGCTCAGGACAGAGGGCTAAAGACATGTGCTCACGTCCCCTTTCTGCTAAAATTATATTCAAGTGATAGTAAAAACATATACAGAAAAAAAGATACAAAAAGAAGAATATTCATTATAGCACAGAAAGATGCTAACAACAGATCAGGAACTTTTAAGAATTTTATGAAGCTAGAAACCAAATAGAAAACAAGTTACTTTGGTTCGTGTATCAGTTTTGCAAAAATAGTAATAAAAGTAGACCAAGGATACAGAAAAGGAATGTATATTGGAATACATGTTCTAAAGGGCATACTGGCAAAATCCATAAAAGCATACATTTCTATGGCCCATTTAATTCCATTTCTTATGAAGTCATAGTCACAGATGCACACAAGATGGAATGTCTAAGAATGTCTTACAGCAGCACTGCTTACAGAGCAGGAAGAAGAGATTCCTGGAAATACTGAAATTTCATTAATAGGTAGATGGTTGACTAAACTATGGTATACACATACTACGGAATACTAGGCAGTTATTTAAAATTTCTATGTTGTAGATCTACATGTACTGATGTGGAAAGATCTCTCAAAGACATACTGAATGAGAAGGGAAGGTTAAGAATAATAAACACAGTATAATACCCTTTATGTATTTATTGTATACCTACAAACACACATTATACTGTTTTTTGTTTTAAGAATGATACAGACTATAAATAGCACAGAAAAGGGTTAAGGGTTAAAAGGTACACATTGAACTGACAGCAGGGACTGATCTGTGTGGAGAGGTCTTGAATTGGAATTGGTGATTAAGGCAGACTTTCTTTGAATGTTAAACTTTGTACTCATGTATCACTTGATCAGATAAACACCAAAACTAGGGGGCTGAAACATGCAATGGAAAGAGGTACAAGTGGGGCGCCTGGCTGGCTCAGTTGGTAGAGCCTGTGACTCTTGATCTTGGGAGTGAGAGTTCAAGCCCCACGCTGGGTGTAGAGCTTACATAAAAATAAAAATAAAAATGGGTACAAGAGAAGACTGCAGTAATTATGAGTTATTCTTCCCCAAAAAAGCCCCTAGAGAAACTAAGTGCAAGCCATAATAAGTTTAAGAGCAAGGGTAAGCCATTGCCATAAACCAAAACCAAAACTAAACATACATTAAAAAGGCAACTAAATCAAGAAGTTAGCAAAAGGAGCAAAGTAAACATTTTTTTAAATGAAAGAATTAAAATTAAAAGAATTAAAGTTCTGCCAAATCCATTCAAGAAATAAAACAAAAACAGTAACAGAAATGAAAAAGGAGATATGCCTGAAGACTTTTTAAAAATCATATTTGCACGCTACTAAAACTTCATCTCAAAAGGATTTGAAAATGTAAATGAAATAAGCAGTTTTTCTAGGAAAATATAAATTACCTGAATTGACACAGAAAAATCTGACTATACAAAATAACTAGAGACAAAGGTCTACCTGAAAGAGACCAAGCATATTTGGTTTTAAGTAGGAGTTCTACCAAACCCACTCTAACATATAAAAATTCTTTTGGAAGCTTCCTTTATCTCTAAACCCCCAAGATACATGTTGGCAATCACCCCCTAAGCATATCACCCACCGATATACATCTGAAGGGTCTCAGGACTAAGGTTTTATTAGATGGTAATAAATGACCTTTTCCCAACAACAGCTAGCCCCCTTCAAGGTCCTGGAAACCTTGCTTCCAAAATTCCTTAGAGACTTAAGCTCTCCCTGACCCCCTCCCAACTTGAAAGTATATAATGGGCCACTCCTCATGACCCCACTGCAGCTCTTTCTACCCCCGGGTCCTGTCCCCCGTGCTTTAATAAAACCACCTTTTCACACCGAAGACCGTCGGCTTCGAACCTTAACGCTCTTTCCTACATCAGAAAGCTTCTTAACTCATTTCAGGAGAATAATGGAAGCCCATCCCCAAAAGTGAAGAAAGCAAGCCCAGATGAAGAGGGGAGGAAAACTCCAGCCCACTGCACTGCAATTCCTGTGCTCTCAACGGTGGCTCCTACTCACTGGTGCACACAGAAATCCCCCCTTGCGTTCTACCCCCCCACCCAGGAAGAGGAATAGGGCCAGGCTAGTAGTACCACTCAGAGACGAGAGCCACAGCCATACACCAACCTCACTATAAACATGACGTAATGAATGTGAAATAAAACATTACCAAAAAAAATTCAGCAGTCTACTGAAAGAATGTACCATCTGCCATGATGGAGTAACTGATACCAGGCACAGCCTCCGGACACAAGTAGAAAACAGGACAAAATATGTAAAATAAATGTTTTCAGTCATTGAGTAATGAGCACTGAACTGTGATCATGGAGAGGAGAGAAACAAAGCAAACCCTACAATGGCCCAGGTTTCTGCCTGGAGGCATTTTGAAACTGTGGCATGCGGAGGTGGGGGGAGGGGAAGGGATGTCAGGCCGAATCCTGCAGTCCTGCTGAGGAGAGCAGTCCGAACGCAGAGTGTTAAGGGGCCGGAATTAGCAGGGGAGAGTATCAGAAAGAAGGAAGCTACACAGAAAAACTGCTCCAGAAATCTGGGGGTCCTCTGGATTCTGCTGTTCAATGCTGTGGGAGTTATAAGCTGAATTCCAGAGCTATCACAAGGCTGGGAGATATTCAAGTTCCAAGCAGCCTAAGTAGGAGAATTTCAGTGGACACCCAGACGTCCAATACAGACCAGAAGGGTCGCACTTTAACAGTAAAGGCATATTTACAAATAAAGGTTTGTTCCTGAGTTTAGTAGGTCAAATGTAGAGTATGAAACTCAGAAATAAACCTCAAAAGGATCAAGCTGACCCACAAGTAACCTAACTGCAAACTGAAACAAAATTTAAAACTCTTTAAAGGCGACAAAATTTAGGCATTCAACAACGTAATACTCACAATGTCCAGTAGTTAATAAAAAAACTGCTAGAAATACATGAAGAAAAAAGAAATGTGAGCTCTAACTAGGAGAAAAAGCAGTCTGTAAGGGAATTTATCTTAAGAAAGAAGGAATGCAAGAATGATTCAATACTAGAAAATGTACTAATATAATTTACTACGTTAGAAGATTAAAGAAGATAAAAACCACAATCATCTTCCTGGATGACAAAAATTCAGCACACATTCCTGATTTTTAAAACAGTAAACAAATAGAAGGTTTCAGTAACCAAGAAATAAATTTCCTTAATTGGTAATGATAACTGATGTGGGAAAGAAAGGCAGAAGGAAATATTTAAAATAAAATGCCCTTATAACCTGCAGCCCATTGACAAATACTTGAGGCAGGCAGGGTATAACATTCCCCCAGGAAGCTCCCAACGGTATTCATGTTAATGCCTTGCTAGAGCGAACAAAAACCTCGGTTTGACAAGAGCAGGGCCTCCAGTATCCTGTGAGTCTTCTTTAACATTATGAAAATCCTTCTGAAACTTCCCCGATCTTTACTTCCCAACCCCAAAGTACAGAATCAGTTGCTCCTCACAATCCTGGGGCAGCAGCTCGAAAGAGCTGCCCATGGTCCTGTCCCCGTGCTTTAATAGAACCACCTTTTTGCACCAAAGATGTCTCAAGAATTCTTTCTTGGCCATCAGCTCCAGACCTCACACACCAACACACCAACCAACACACCGACATTCAAAAACTACATGAATAACTATAGTTGAGACTACGCCAAACGTCACATTTTATGACAAAGCATTACAAGTGTTCTTCATTAGAAAATAAAAACAAAACTTCAGGTTTTAATATGATGGAATCAGGATAAATCATCTCTGTCCTCTCAAAATCACCCTAAAAAAAATGAATGAAAAAGAGAAATGTAAATGCCTTCGTCAAAGAGATTAGGAGACCTTTTATCACCCTGACCATAACCATAAACAAGGGAGGGCTGCCAAGCGCAGTGAGAATCAAACAAAACATCTCACAAAACCTCAAAGCACAGGGAACACTTAATGGAGCACAAGCAACAACTCTTAGCTTGAAACCTTGAGGCCAACAGAATGAAGCCTGCGGGGAGCCTCCCGGAACAGTCCGTAATACCACTACCAGGAGACAGACTGGTATTCAGTGATGGCAGGAAGCACCTACAAAGGATCCAGAGGAGAGCAACTCTAAACAGGAAGGAACACTGCTCATTTCTGAATAGCCGCTCATCCCCACTGGCCAGCTAGGGAGGAATAAAAGCTGAACTTGCTGCAAAGATGAGTAATAACTAAAAATTTAGGGGACCAGCACAGCATCTATACAAACACGCAAAAGAAAAAGAGAACTGCTATAACCCTAAAACAGTCAGCCAGATGAAAACTCCTGAGTAACAAATGAACCATACTACCATGAATTCCAAAGACTTAAGAAAATAAAAGTCAAAAGCAGGAAAAAAAAAAAAAAGTTATGAAAAGAAGACAGAAACATAAGCTGGGGCAACATCACAAATAGTTTGGCATTACTATCTAGTAAATTCGAAGTTCTACAAAATTATAGAACCAGAATTGTGATCCAGCAATTCTACCACAAACCTAGACCTTCAGACATATGTCTGTATATGCCCCCCAGACCTACACAATAATGTTCTTAATAGCCCCAAACCGAAAACAGCCCAAATGTCTACCAACAAGAAAATGGATTGGGGGGAAAAAAACCCCGTGATAATTCATATAATGGAATACCATATAGCAATGAAAATAAGTGAACTATAGCA